GAGTTTTGAGTGGGCGCATGTCGCCAGTGTGCTGCGTACTGTTTACATGTGTGAAAAGTGTGTTTGAAAGCGAGTCTGATTGCAATCGCATGCAAAGGTCCTCAACAAGCTCGCTTTGAAGGTCCTCCACCTTCCATCTGGAGGGTAAATTGTTCTAATGGCCTGGTCCAGTTCTGGGTCAGAGTGTTGGATAAAGTGGTCTATCCACTATTTCTCGGAGAATTTCTTACGGAAAGCATAACTTTCCCACTTTTCTACGAACCCAGTCACATCTCTCCCGGTGAAATAAAGGGCCTCCACTCGTAGGTTAACATCATAGTAGGGAACACGCCTATCGTCGTAGCGCCGAAAATACGGTCCTTCGGCCGACCCATCTATAACAGGGTCATAGGGCTTATACCAAGCCAGGTCCAGATCTCCCATGGGCGGCCGACTTCGAAGTCGCCCAAGGACCTTCTTCCCAGAGGTATCTCTCTTCTTCTTCCCATTCCCACCTTGCAGGCCCCGAATCTCGCCAAACCCTCCCTGTTTGGTCCACGTTTTTACCCATCATGTCATCGGAAGCCCAGGCAACCTCGGCTTCTCTGCCACCCCACCGGTGCGCGCCTCCGATCGCCTCCGTAATTCGCCCCCCGAGTAATTCTCTACTTCGGAGGGCTCCTTCCTCATCCCGCCGAGGTCCCCAACTACTTGCTCTATCTCGCGCCGTCGGGGGGCCTCCTCTTCCCCTTTCTTCCGCGCCCATCTGCTCAGCCCATTGAGTCTCGACGGGGATACTCTCGAGGCTTCCGCTACTCTTTCTCTTGTTGGCATTCGCAATTCCAGGCCTCTGTGCAAATGCACTTTGGTACCTACCTTTTGTCCAGTGGGAGCGTCCATCTCCTCTAGGGGTCGCTCCGTACTCCGCTCATCCTTATCTTTAATGCCTACTGTATCTGCCATCCCTCCTGCTTCCTCACTCAACCTCGTCCCTAGCTCCTTTTTTTCTTTCCCTTTTGCAACGTCTGCCAACCCAGGAGATTGTGAGTGCATGGGTTCGACTTCACTCTCCATTTGCCCGATTGTTTCCTTTTATTCACTTCCCTCGCTAGTGTTCGTACTTTCTTTGTCGCTGCTATTTTCTTCTGAGCTTTCTTCTTCCTTACTGGTTGTGCCTCCCTCGTCCCCCTCTGCTGACTCTTCGCTTGTCACGGTCCACCACGAGTCTTGCACCAATTTTTCATCATAAGTTGCTAGCGCTAAACGCGCAATTTCCAGATCGGAGACGTTCTCAATCCCCTGCTGAGAACAACGCCTTATCAATTCTCTATCTACTTCGCCTACCTGCCCTGGAAGTAGGGGCTTAATGAATTTCCCCACTTGCGCCCACCATTTGAAGTCCGTATCACTCAGAGATTCTCAACACTGAGTGAACAGTTCGTGTCCTCCGGCTTCTCCCAATGGGAATTTCTCGGTCACCCGTCCACGGTTCAAAACCTTCCTCACTGCCGAGTCGTCAGGGTAGAGCAGGCGATAAACCCCGACGGGGACTTCCTAGGTTCGGCAGTGTGCCGCCCGAGGAATCTCTTGCCGGCCCCCTATATTCGACCCGGTCTAGTACGTTGTCTCTCGAGGAAGCTACTCCCAACCTCTTAAGTCGGTCCAATGCCCTTTTTGCAAGCCCTAAAGGGTTCTTCCCTTCTACTAGTTTTGTTGTGAAGAGTTGCCTATCACTTTTTGCCAGGAAAATTTTCGCTCGCCGTGTTCTGAGGTTTCCTCCGGAGACCACCGAGAAACGAATCACAGATTCTTGGTCGTATATTTCAAAGAATTCTACGATCGTCATTCCTTCAGTGTTATCCTTTGGGGGAGTTGCTCCGTACCTCCCTCCCGATTTCCAAGCCCGTTCCAGGATCCCGACGGGGTCCCCCTGTTCGTACCTAATCACCGGTGATTTACCTCAGCCTGGCCAATCTCTCGGTCGTCGTGGCCAAGGAATCTTCACACTTCCATCGAGCGTTGACACCTCCCTCGCTTAGGACCAGTCGCAGAGCCTTTTCGTATTCACCTGATCTATCCCAAAACCGAGCTTCTACCAAGTGTAATCTTGCTTCAAGCGACACACCTAAGCTCCTCACGTCTTCCTCGAATGTTCGTTCGACCTCCAGTAGCGGTTCTCTCTACTCTCTTGAGAAGCGGGTCCCTCCTAATTCACTTATGGTAGTCGAAAATTATGCCAATGTCGTCCACGGCCTCCTCTTCCACAGAGCAAGCCTCTGAATCTCTACAAGGAATTCCTTCCTTGCTCTAGACGTCGGACCTTCCTGAAGTCCTATTGCTAACTCCGCCTCTTCCTCTATCTCCACCTCCAGCCCGTCGTCGCGAGTCTCAAGCTCCCAATTCACCGAGCCTGACGAAAAGCGAGCTCTCATGCCCGTCGCTCTCCTGAGAGCAACTCCTCCTTTTGTTCGTCGAAGATTCGAATGGTTGCCGTTTCAAGAGCCTTAATCCTGGTCAAGGAGCTAGGCCTAACCCTTCTTTGTTCTTCCCAACAAAGGGTTAGGATCCTATAAAGTTCCTCTATCACTCTATCCAAGCTTGCCAGTTCCGGATTGCTAGGCTCACTCATGCCTAATGCTCCTTCGTCTGCAAGCAATGGCAATGCGTATGAGCTCCGAAGGGTCGAGGCCCCCTAGCCCAGTCTCACAGAGCTCTCCAAGGTACCTCCACGAGATCGTCCAACCCTTCACGTGTTGGCCCCAACCTTCAAACGTGTATCCTAGATTGTTCAGCCCGGACCAATTGTTATGACTTGGGTTTAGAAGACACCACGTCAAGAGAGCATGTGAGTCTGAATCAGTAAAGTGGAACTGATTTAGGATCTCAACCCTTCTTTCCACTGCCCTTTTAACAGTCTCAGAGGGATAGATCCTCTTGAAGATGAACCTGGGTACTTCCACTGCGCGGTTGGTGGCGAAAAACAGGATTTCTCCAAGCCCAGCGTAAGTCACCCGGTAGGCGATTCGGCACCCCCTTGGCAGCTCTACCTCGCTAACTAGCTCCTCCAACCTGGTTCTTACGGC